CTTGCATTAAATTATAAAAATACGTATACCGACAAAAGAATGAATATACCAATGTGAATGTGGTGGACGAATATTTTTATACACAGTAATATGAAATTACCCACACATGCACACTGTGTAAATGACAGTTGTGTCGATGTGTGGCGCTGCTACTAATTAGCGGTGTTTTGTGTACGACCTAATATCATTAAAAATTTCATCGATTTAACATTGCGTATTGGATATACACTTTAGAAGAAATATCACGGAAGCAGTCTGTTTTTATTTCACGAAGATTTACGAAGATTGTAATTAAAAAATATGCAACACTGCGGATAAAAATGGAATTGTGTCTGTCCAGAGTGTATGAACTGTATGACGATGTTGTTACAGGCCGTGGTGCTGCCGCCGCTCGCCAGGTGGCCCTACGAGAACGGATTCACCTTCACCACGTGGTTTCGACTAGACCCCATCAACTCTGTCAACATTGAAAGAGAAAAGCCATATCTATACTGGTAACAACTTGAATTTTCCTTTTCGCACAGTTAAGCTACTCACAAGCTCACAACCCATTTAATAAAGGCTCACACCAAATTACAGTTTCGTATTCGCAATATTCTCAGTAAATGGTATTATAATATAAGAAGGCAATAAACACTGTTACTGAGCCGAAAATATTTAATTACTTTTCTAACTCATATTATAAATTTGATTTATAGTGAATTAGAGACGATATTAAGTGAAGCTGTACTAGGAATGTGGTACAGGATGGATGCCAAATGTATTCCGTAAATCGCGTGTGGCCGCAGACCGCTGTACCTGTGTTTCCGACTTTTCATTTGATTTGAGTGGAGCTCGGACGTTTCAAGTGTAGTTTCGGTTGCGCTCTGCTATCCTGGTAGGCACTAAGCTAAATCATTTTCGGTTTGTGTTCGAGGATAATTGAATTGCGAGTTCACCACAGGCCACGTCCATTTAGAAGATCTTTCCCATTCAGTATAAGTTTAATTAAAGTACCTTTGTCAGCTGATTAAGGAAAATTGCAAAAATATGCTTTCAGGAGTTGTGTTGACTGAATAATAACAAATGGTAGTTGCATTAAAAATCGTTTATCTGCTCCAAGTAATAAACGTTCAACATTTGACAGCTTCAAGACGAGTAAAGGTGTAGGCTACACGGCGCACTTCGTCGGCAACTGTTTGGTTCTCACATCCATGAAGGTGCGAGGCAAAGGATTCCAACATTGTGTCAAATATGAATTTCAACCAAGAAGGTGAGTGCGCCTGCAATAAATTTAAAACATTTCGCTCTCTTGGACTCGAGCTTTAAAATGGTGTTTTATATCTGAACTGCACAGGAAATTCTCAACAGCTTTAATCGTTAAAAATCTAAAATTATTTAAAGCTGTGGTACGGTTAATTTTGAACGTGCTTCTACCAAATTTTAAAACTTTTGTTCAAAACACTAAGTCAGGGCAGTGAAAAAGTTGCAGCAGTATAAATAAAGTTCCCTGTGTAGTCAGTTTATGACGACGGTCGGTCGGCTTTCGTGCGAAAAGTTGCCTCAAACATTATTCAGTGGATTTTTTTATTATTTCACTGTGTTCACTCAGATGCTAAACTTATAAGCATAGCGCACGGAGCTCGAATCAGTTTTAATGTTTTGGTTGGATCACTTTAACTCGCGAAAACAAGATATTATTTGTTCGAGGAATGTTTTACGTACATGTTAAAGATCCGAATAGAAAATTACACTTGAGTGAACGTTTTCAAAGTTACACGCTCCACTTGGCTTGATAATTATGCAAAATCTTCTTATAAATTGTTTTCGTGTAACAAATTATTCATCGAGCTAAATAATTATTATGTAAAAAAATGGTAATATGATTCTGCAATCATTTTGGTGATCTGGCGAAGTGTCTACTGTCTATACATACGTTGTAGATGGTACAGTAGTTGTTGTTTCTCGTGCAGATGGTACGCGATAGCAGTGGTGTACATATACAACAGATGGACAAAGAGTGAGATCAAATGCTTGGTGAATGGACAGCTAGCGTCAAGCACGGAGATGGCGTGGTTCGTCTCCACTAATGACGTAAGTTGTACATTTTTTTATTTTATTTATTTGTTTTCTGTTAAGAGGTTTTCAGTGCAGGTTCTGTTGTTGTTCTTTCCGTCGTTAACATGCTATTTTGTTATGTTATTGTAAAGTAGGTATACCATCATCACATTAAAACGTATTGCGATGTAAAGATACTGTCAAGTTTATAGATAGGGCAGTTATTTTTAAATTCCTAGTAATATTTTATGTCTAGGGGGCAGGCAATCTTTGACTTCTCAAATACTTAAATAGTAGCCCTTAATCCAAGTTAAAGTACCAAGTGCTCATAACTGTATAGGAGCTTAGCATAATACATTCGGTTATCTACGGCGAACACCCCTTTGCGACAAGTTGTGCGTTCGACTCGTCACGTACGTGTCGTTAGCAGCAATTTATTACAAGTAATGCCATGCAAATTCCTGCGGATAACGCGGACCTCATACATACTGAGTGATACAAGTTTTAAGTTTCTTGAAACTTGTGTCGTCTGAACATAATTTGTGACTGTGAAACTACTTCCAACAGACTCCCATTATCTACACATTATTGATATGGTGATGACACATTTTGTTGCAAAACATAACACGGGTATGTGTGCAGATTAACATCGAAACTTGGGTAATAAAGCAAGTTGAAATTTGTACCGGTCAGAGCTCTAATCAAATGAAAATCATCGATTGATCGCAATGTGGAGCTTGCCACAAGGGATTGAGGCCCGGCGAATATTATTATGATTGTGACCCAAATAACCGACGCTAGCCTTAAACCTTGTTATTATGATTGTGGAAACGAACCGCTCATACGTCAGGAACATGTATCAGTATACGTTCCGCTACATTAATGAATTGTGTGTTGCCTTTACAAAGGCTCGATGCCAGTAATCCGGTTTAAAAAATACGCAGCCAATTAGACTGAAAGTGCACGCGTACGTTGTGTTGTATTGTTTTGATTGGATTCCTCCTTTGTTTGCTTTGTAAAGCTCCATTTAGTTCGTGTTCTCCTGATATTCTCTTTCCCGGTTGTAGGATTAAGTTGGTGTTAGTTCATGCATGCCACTATGAATATTCACCGGAGCTCGGACGTGGTCACGCATACTTGCTGTGAAATGAACTTGTCTGGCGTTGTGAAGACAAACTAATTATTTGGGACCTTGGTACACGTGCCCCTATCGCATGACACAGGATCCTGGCACTAGATATTATAAACGCTTGATTTTAAATCAACTGAAACAACATAAACTTGTAAGAAGCTTACTAAGATTCTAAGAAGAGCCTTTTATTAAATTCTTTAAATAAATTCATAAATTATTTATTTCAGCGGCGAGTTTGAAATTAATTTATAACAAAAAAGCTTAATTTAACAGCCATTATTTTAAATTGTATGGCCGGCATTACAAGGGGTTGAATTATTTTATCAGTTCAGTATTTTGAAGCCGAGGGTTGTTATAAAAAAGTCTTTGATGTAGGTAAATTCTGGCTCTTAGAGAACAGAATAAGACCCTTAGAATAATGAACACTAATAATAGTATTACGCGGAAGGATACAATTTTATCAGTTGGATGTTTTATTTTATTATGTGTTTTATTAATAATGTAACCCGTGGAATATTGTTATATTTTCCCTTGTTATTACGAGTTATCGTTTTTAAAGGTACTTGCACTGATTTGGAATTCGTTTCGATACGGTATTGTATGAGATAAAGCGGGATGTACCTACCGCTTAAAAATACAATGTGCAACTAAACACTGGAGTATTTCAGCTGTAAATTTGAATTTACATGGCATTACTGTGCACGGGGCTGGAGATAGGGTCGTGTGCTCGTGTGCTGCCTTAAAGATAGGCTGTGAACGATATTGCCGGGGAATTGAACCGGCTTCAAAGTGTTTAGTTATGTCGGGTTCATTGCGCCGCCGCACTACTTGTTAGGAAGATCTGCGTATTCAGTGACATATTTTATGATACGATGAATATGTATTTGGTTTTTAAAGTAATATATTGTCACATTTTAATACGTGTCGTGTTGTATAACTAATAACTGTAAAAGGAGAAAACAAAAAGCTAAAAAGAGTGCTCATAAAGCATGTTCGAAACAAATTGATGATATTTCAACAATTAATCGAAGTGTTCGTTTTTTTATATTTACAATTAGTTGTGAACACTTCTATCCTTTGTAAACTAAATAGTAAAACATAAAACAAGTCAATATATTGAAATATATTTGTAATAATGTAACAAATAATTTAATTAGTGTGGGCGAGTGCCCGCGGGGTATAGATAGCATTCGGTTTTGTATAACTCGCTACTGGTGGTATTGTCATCGGGTGCTTCATTAACATTCATTATCACGCGGCTTTACTTCGCTAACAATTAACATTCCATTACTCGACGTCAGGTCCCTACGTATTCAATACGGTATTTTGTTTATATTTGTTTTATTTATTTATTGAAAAGTTAGTCCACGTAAACTTAACGACTTATTCTATTCGTTTTTCGAATAATAGTTTTTTAACGATACTGTATATAAATAATGTACTTAGCAGGTACATAGTTTGAAATGGGTAATTTATTTGCATGTCAGTGCTCAACAGTCAGCATACATACTCTTTCGTGGAACTTTTCTCAACCAAGATACCTACGTCTTGGTGCGGTGCTCAGTCCAGTTCAACTTCAGCGATATGTAGTAAACACAGACAAAGGTTCAAATTAAACTATGAATTAATTACACTGCAATGAGTCCTGTATAAGAAAGAAACTACTGGTAGACTATATTCGTCGAGGTTTCGTCTTTGAAGTCTATAAATATGCGCACAATATTTACGCAGTACCAGGCGACCAGACGCCTACACGCGCTCTAAATGTCAAGTACTCGGAATATAGGGTTTATCACAAGCAATATTCAAGAAATTCACGGAAACTATTATAAAAACTTTACATCAACTAGGACTGTAGCGTTCAGCTCCGTGTAATGTTGGTAAATTAATTTCATGGTTCATTTCAACAGAGCTTACAATAATACGTTTTCGACAATTTTCATTAAAATAACCGTTAATCCATCGATACCACCGGGCGGGTCTCATTAGTGTTAATATTATTTTTATTGTGCCAGCGATGTTGTCCATAAAGTAATGAATTGTTGTACAGAGCGTATTTGTATGTATTACATAAGCAGCGCGGGTCCATAGGTTCCAATCAGTTTGGGTAAACTTGCGACGGTATATTGGTCCCGAATTCCTCGGATAAATACTTGCTGGCAACCTTATTCTTCATTTTGTATTAAACAACTTTCCCCACAAATGTTGGCTTTGCTTACTCTAATAGGAATTTCGTCCAATACTCGTAAGTTTCGATTCAATTTCGTTCTTTGTCGAAATATTGGCGAATATGAAATGTCTTCCCAATTTGTAATGGCCGCGCCGAAATCTTGTCTGAGAGGAATTTAATTTTTTGAAGTAATTTGGGATCCTAAACTAATTTTGTAGTTCAAGAGAAGCTGTCGAAAGTTAGTTGATAAGATGAGTTTACTTCAAGTATCTTTCGCCTCGATTTTAATAACAAACAAGATTGGGTTTGATTTGTGCAATATTAAAAAACTAAGTTGTTGTTCAGTGAGAGCACTTCCATCGACTTTATGAAAATAAATTTTTGGGTCAAGTTTTATAGCGAAAGTCAATACGAGCGAGTCATAGTCATAAATATATTTTGAAAAGTATAGAACTATATTTGTTTTTTCGTTGACCAGCCCTTCGACAAATGCTACATCGGTGCGACAGCAGAACTGGACGAGGAACGAGTGTTCTGCGGGCAGATGGCCGCCATCTATCTGTTCGGAGAGGCTCTCACCACGCACCAGATCTGCGCCATGCACAGGCTGGGGCCCGGGTATAAGGTGAGTCTACTTTACAACTTACCAGAGAATTTTTAATTGTTAGTAATAAGAGAGACATCTTTAATTGTTACATAAAAAGGATAAAACTGTTACATACTGAATTCACTGAACAATTTTTGTTCAGTCCTGTATACTTCTTTAAGAACCGATTTAATATATTCTTGTGTTTGCCTTTGATTCTTGCTTACCATGGAAACAGAGTCAATTCCGTTTCGACAACGAATGCAACATCAGTTTGCCGGAGAACCACAAAAGGGTGAGCGAGACGACCGCTCCCAAGCTTGACAGCGCTGATGTTCCTTCTCCTCCTGATCCCGAAACTCCCTCCCAAATCCCTGAGATTGAGCCGCCGCCTGATGTAGCTTCTCCCGAGGAAGATACTAAGCCCGCAGAACCAGAAGAAGCATGCGTAGTTGTGAAGGAAGACGCGACTCCTCGAGGACGGCGCATGGCCGACGAGGCGCGCGAAGTGGCCGCCGCGCATGCCTCCATGCTCGTAGATATTGAAGCATGCAAGCGTGTAAGCATGCCGCGCCGCTTGCCCTTACATTCAGTTTGTTGTTTAGTCCCGCTTGTGTGTGTACTTGCCTTGCCACGCTCACCGAGCACTCTTGTACAGTGTCACTGTGTAATGTCCGTTTGCTGTCCATGTGGTGCCAGGGTCAGTTTCGTTTCGACGCCGAGTGTCACACGCCGCTGCCCTCCATGGAGGTCCGCGTGGACCGCTACGGCGACCTCATTCACGATCCGACGCAGAACGTCCATGACGTAAGACGCTCCGCTGATAAATGTCTTTCACTCGGGTTTAATCTTGTTTAGAGAAGGAATTCTTCGATCTAAACTTCATTTCCACTAACTTGGTGTGTCTTGGGTTCTAAGATTTAATAAAAGTTGCATGACAACTAACTCCACGAAACTTTAACGAATAATGCCAGCTATAACTGGAGCCCTATTATAAACAGACCTCACAGAATTACGGTAGTTAAATGCATAAAAGGCAACGAACCGACAAAAGGCGACTTAATTTGTTCGATTATCAGAAATTGCTAAATGTTATTTTCAAAGGAAATTAGCGAAATCCGTCGATTTATCAAAAGATATTGTAAACGATTTGTACAAATATTTAATGCTAGCTCAAAGCAGAACCATTTGCAACTTTAATGATGTTACAGTATTCCATGAAAGTGAATTTAAAATGAGTTTCAAATTATACCTTTGTTCAATATTGACTTGGATTTAATCAAAATGGACTTAGATTTTAGTTTTACGTCTGGTATTATGAAACTCTTTTAATCCGACTTGAGACTGGAGTTAAATATTAATGTAAAGTTGAGGTGTGCGCAGCTGACGGGTCCGCCGCCGCCCGCCGCAGTATGGACGTATCGGTTGTGTTGGCATGTCTACACGCTCCGCTAAATCTAAACTCAACTCAAAAGTTATTTATTGGGCCGGGATTGTAAAAGTTTCAGGTAACATTCAGGGCTTCATTAGTCCTGAATAAATAAGGGTTCTGTCCAGTGGACGTTTAGCTGGTTTATGTGGTGTTTACTTATAGCATGCTGGGCTATATTCAAACTTCATGGTGATTGTTTACTTCCTCGTGTCGCCCATTTAAAATTAAAGGTTCCTTCCGTTGGTTGAGAAAAATTCTACACTTTTAAAACTTAGTTTTAAGCAATTCAGCAGTAGGTCATCAAAACAATGTTCTTGATGTTACAATCCCAGTACACAATACACGTTATCAATTACCAAACATTTAGGCCCGGGAAATGCAATTTCCGTGTCGTGTGTCCCCGAGGGACGTCCAGTGAGGGACAACAAGTAAGGTCCGCGGAGTCTCGGCAACCGTACAAGTTGGACCTCACTTACCGCACGATGAGCGAGGAGGGTCGGCCTTCAGCCGGTGGATACGCTCGTAATGGCCGCTCCCTCTTGCGGTTTCATTATAATTCAACTTGAGGATATCTCCCTTAGTTCCTGTGAAATGTACAAGACATTTACAGTAGTGCTCTCGCAACATTTGCACGTTTACTTAGCCGAATCGTTTTCGCTCCTTGACGACATTTCCAAGAACTTTCTTGAAGCGAATAATCTGATCTTACGTTCAGTGGCTGAGTACTTTGTGTTAGTTGTGCTAATGTAACGTAATCTCGTTTAATATGTCCTTTATTCTAATTCTTGCTCTCAAGTATGACTTACCAAATACTCAAATATACGCGTTTCGTGGTCACTTTACATTACTTGTTAGGAACAATAAATATTAATGTTTCACTCTCTTTGTCTTTGGTAACATAATAATTTATACCATAAAAGTTGTTCTCGACTCATATTGCCCACAATAATAACAAGAATTCGAAATCCGTCTACAGGCTGTATTACCATTATATTTCGTAGTTCCTGTAACATTGACGTAGATTACAGTATAGATATTCTTTTTATTGAGTTTTTAAGTTTTCCAGAATTTGTTCAGGTTTCAGATAAGTAAGCTACTTAGTATGCTTTTTGTGAGCTCAGTTCCCTGCTTAGTATCTACTTTACTTTTATTATAACTTTAAAATATTCCACGACCTTTTTCTCAAGGTTTCTATAATCCCCACAGTCTTGTGTCGTTGGCTTTATATTTATTTGAATATTTTTTTAGAATAACATCACAAATATAATGAAAATATGAAATAAATATTCGTACCGCGGAAAAGTTGACGAACGGAAATTCAGTTAGGGTCCTATTTATCTCACCGTCATATTTAAAAAGTTACCACGACAAGGTTGTGCGTAAAAAGAAAAAAATCCAAGTGTAGCCGCTGTCTGAATGCAATTAAAACTTTGCTAATTGATTTTTTTATTAATTATGAGTAAGTTAGGGACAATAATGAGTTTCGAGAGCTCGGCGCGTTCTCTGCGCATTAATTTGACTAATATTCACGCGTCCTGACTCACTTGAAATCGTAGCTTTGAGTGTAATTTGGAGTATTTCTTATTTAATTAAGAAAGTAGTGTTTATTTTATATTCGTAATTAGCAAACGGCAAGGAATTGTTTATTACATCTGTTTATAGAAGACCGGCCGGGCTCGACCTGTCACTGCCATTATAATTTACACCGAGACATCTCGTTGCCTGCCCGCGTTATTGTAAACGATGAGGGCGAGAAATTGACGTAATGTCTCTCTTGATAAACATTTGTAAAAATTACAAGATAATTTTCTGCAAAAAGTTTATAATTTTCGTAATTGTTATTGTAGGTACTAATGAAATAATTGTAAATTTAATCTTACAGGGTGTAGACATGTGCTGTCCCATGTAACGGTCGGTACACGGAGGACTGTGTCAATTTGGCATACATGATGATACACTATCCATTGTCTGCCAAAATTATAGAAAAAGTATTGTGCGATTGATTTTATTTTCTGTTTCTATCGGTATCACGGGCGAGTTCCCGATGCGTTGGTATTGCCTACCCATATTTCACGAAGAACATAAGATTTCCGCGAAAAGTTTATTCTACTTCTTTCTTTCTGTATTTTATTTTATCATCCATAAAAATGTTGCAAATATTGAAGCGCTCAGCAAATACTTTTACCAGGAGCGCATATTTGCACAGGGTTCGCAAGTTAGGGAAAGTTAGGTACAGGCAGCGTACAGTTTATTGGCGGGACCGGAGCTCGTTGCGTTGCGCGTCGCAGCTTTACGGCTCGCACTGAGCCATATAACTTTTCTAGTGTGACGTAATAAAACAACTTGCGTAATGAGAATGTACTTGCCACGTAAATTTTAGGGGCAGTAAAACGAATTTTATGTCGTCATTTTGACGGAAGGTTGATTTTGAAAACCTTGTCTTCACAAACATACTTCATTTGAAGGCTGGCCTTTACTTTAGGTATTCGTTCCCCCCGTGTTTCTACGAGGGAGGAGGACGGTGCTATATTATATTCTGGATGTGTCTGCGACTTACAAACGTTCGTTGATCTCGGTCGGCGCTGTCTTAGCACACAGTTCACGTAATTTCGCCAACTTTGTATGAGAAAATGAAGACTGTCAACTCGAATTAATTCTATAATTATTTATGCTGCCCTGAAAAGTACGAGAAATCCTATTACTTGGTAAAAAATTGTAGTCTCCTAACAGAATTTTAATCATAACGTAAATGAATGTTTGACTTGGGGGAATATTTCGCGGCGCGCATTCAGCATACATAATTACACAGACGACAGCCAGAGACGGCATTGTTTACTCTTGTTGTTGTTTTAAAAAGTTAAATCTCTCAAAGATAATGGAAGTTTAATGAGAATGTGGAATTTAATTAGGACTACTACTTAGCTAACGTTTAAAAAACGTAGTCTTCTTTTCGTTAAATCTGTTGTCTAATTAAAGTAAGCTAGATCAGTTTGGGGAATAAATGGAGTCTATTATCCTCATCCTTATTAAAAAGTGTAGATCAAATAGCACGCGAACAATAAACACGGCATAAAAACTTAATTAAACAATGTTATTGCGAACGATGAAGTCGTGTAAAAAGAGAGAATAACTGAATAATAGTGTAATTGTGTGCAGATGTCGCGAGAGCCTCCCGCCCTATTGTTACAGTCTACAAGCCTAGTTAGGCCTCCCTGCTCCTCTTGCCAATACAATTCAGATGAAACTTCCTCGACCGTGAAATAAGATGCTATCGACTGAGACTACCAACTAACATAATGAATAAGCCTATTGTTATCGAATTATGACAAGTCTACGGAATTTTGGATAGTCGGACTCGAAACAAAAGATCTTGTAGTTCAGAAATTGTTACTAAGTTGTAATTTCACTACATTTTTGTATTGTTTTTCAAAGGTGTTCGTTACGCCATACTCGCGTAAGTAACTTTGAACAGAAGCATTGAGTATGTGCACGCGACTACCCGGCGATGAGCTGCTCTAAATGCAACGAAACTAATCTAAACATGGATGCAATTACTATGGGAAGCGAAGACTCTAAAGATATTGAATTCAATAATGCTGGTTTAGACAAGTTATTTGAAAATATTACAAGTAATCGCAGTTTAAAAGCGACCTACGCGAAAGGAGTATGTAACCTAATCTACGCAAACTGCTTACCTAAAGTGTTCATCTCATTTTGTACCAGTTATGAAACGTATTAGTTTTGGTAGAGGCATGGCTGGGCCGGTCTCTGTTCTACAAGTTTTATTAAGAAGTGTAAGTAACTTGTGACACTCCGCGCCGCTCTAACACAAGGAACTAAAGTTGTCGAGTTTGCGACATTATTTACTTGTTCAAGATGGGACAATGAATAGTTTAAAACAAGCCTTTTCACTATTTAATTGGTATAGGCGTATAATATAAGCATAATCACATACTTAGCTACCAAAATCTCCGGTTTCTATGAAGTTAAAATGAATGTCGTCAAACTCGTATTATTGTATGTAAGTATGTGTCTAAATCTACAGATATGTTTAAGTAGTACATTTTTTTAGTATCTATTCGTCTACTTAGCTGTGTGAGATGAGAGAGACAAGTCAAATATATGGCAGTACATTTATGCACGTTATGCAGATAAAAAAGTATTTACATCAAACGCATTGGATAGTTAAATACAATAACGTATTAAAACGAAACCTTTTGATAACAATGCGATTGGTTGGGGTCAAAATGTCATCTCGAAATGGCGTGATTACCCCTTCCTCCATCCATCCCCCATACTAATTAAACGGCAAATTAAGCCGTTGATATCTGCGCGGTTATTAGTTAATCACATCAAATTGCAAATCAATTGATGTGCAGATGCTTTGTGATTAATTATTACGAGTAAGGCAGTGGATGCCTGCAATGTAATCGATTAGTCACTTCGCCAGTCAACCGACAGACGGTGACGCCCAGTCTAGTGCATGATTTTGATTACTTTAACCATGTAGAAACACTAATTTGTCGATTCATCAATAATGTGGCACTTTGTGATTAAATTCCCTTCGCTTGTCACCTGAATTCACCTGATCTATTTATGTAGGTTACTAGGAGCGAAAAATTCAAAAGATTTGTCGCTTCCAGCTATTATACATTCGCGTGCGATGCATAGCAGTAGTGCATTTTAAAGTAAAACAATCTTGTGTAACGAGATGGCTACGGGCACGGCAGTCGGCCGACATTGTTTTGCCTCGTCTTATGTATTTTAATATTAAATTGCTCCTGCACGCTCCTTCCAGAATTTACTTTCAAGTTTACTTTGTTTGTGTAAAGATATTAGGGTATCATCTCTCAATGCTGTTTTGTTCTGGGAAAGTTTCTTTAGATGGTTAGTTTGCTTTCAGACGTCATATTTAAATAATGATGTAAAATAAAAATCCTACTATTTCTGCATTTTGAAATCCATAAAATTATCCCAGCGGCAGTCGTTGCTACACTCCATTTTACTTAGCAGCTTGAGAACTATTTTCAAACACAAACTTTATAAAAGAACGCTCTATCTAGCACTTAAAAGTTTTTACAGAGACATAATTCATGTTAACTAAGTCAAAGACACTCTGGTAAGTGTAAAACTTTTCACTTGCTTCGTACCAGGACGTCATAACTTGCAAGTTGTGCGATAAACTCGGATACCTACTGCAGCTGTAATGCAAGCACATTGTGTCGCGGCACCATGCGCCATGCGACCACTCGGCTGTGTCCCGTACACTAGATGATTAACGACTGTGGAAAGCGTACCCCCCTTAGTCAAATACTTGTAATGGATAGCTGCCGCCGACTTTGTAAACTGACATCTCGGTTTAGTCCTCTCGAGACAAGTTTAGAATAATTGAGGGTTGTCAATGCCGTCTGGAGGTGTTAAGATGGTTACAAGTTTTAATTGAACCCTCAGTTTTAAAACTAAATTTAGTCTACCATTTAGTAATTAGAGAGTGATACTCCTAGTTTATTCAACTAGTTTAGTGAGGCGTTTAACTTTATAATCAACGCTGGATTGGGTTTAATTAAGTTTAATTGACATGTGTAACCTTTTTATTATTTCATTGTCCTTGGTAGACTGACTTGTTAATTGGTTAATGGCTGGCACAAGATGACCCTTAGTGTTGCATATTTTTGCCGATATGCTTTCAAATGGTCGTCAAATGTTTGGTCACTGATATGGTAAAAGTAAAGTACATAACGCTTTAAAATATTCCAAATCGATTTCATCTTGATTGATAGTTATGTTGACATAGTTAATCAACGTTAACTTAAAAAACAACCCTAGTGGCTTGTTAACACAACGCACGTAATCTCATTACGTGCACCAAGCGCCCAGAAAGTAGCGAAAGCTTAAGTGCACTCCCCGTGAGACGGTACTTAGATTAGCCGGTAATGCACGTCTGTGCTCAGTGCAAACTTCGACCCGACTAGGATTCACTTTAGAATCCACCGGAACCAATAACCCGTGCGAGTTTAAATCCCACTGTCCGAGAATTACTTAAAATTAGTTTTAGGTGGCATTAACCGAGTTTAAACGGAATTGGATTCGGTAAAAGTGGTTTAGTGGCCTTAACGATAGTCCGGGACTTGTGAGTATTACAAATAAGTATAACAATTCGTAGGAATTGTAAATTATACTGTACGCGGTTTTACAGTGGCTTTGACATGAATATCCTTTTATTTTATCTTTATTCGTGGAAATGAAAATTTTGGTAGATGAACCGTCAAAGTGTCATACGTGGTTTACTGCCATCACTGCTGAGGTTACATTCTGAATAGCTTTTAGTGGTCACCTCTCGAGGGGTGATGGCTGACGGCTGACGGCAGACGTCCTCTCGTGGTTAATGCCCGCGATGACACTACTCTGCGGTCTACGGCTTACATTTAACCTTCCACTCTCCTAGAATTTATTTGACTGAAACTGAACTGAACAATTTTCTTTCCTCTTAGATTATTTTGAAATGTTTAACTCTTATACCATACCTGTACCATGTGGTCTTGCATGTCTACTTAAAATTACTTTGGTTTAGAAAATAAGGTAGCTATACTACAATATTATGGAGATACATCGTAGTAACTTATAAACCCCGGCAGGCTACTTTCTTCCTAACCTATGTTACAGTAATGCGATCGTTATTGTGTTTTATGTGCATTATTACGGACTTACTTCTATATAAGAGCTGTTTTCCTGGTACCTCTTTACGGAAATAATAGCAGTAGGTGTAACATTACCCGAAGTATAAATGACTAACATATTTTTTATGTATTACTTCCTTTTTAGATGAAGTAAACAGATTGTAATAAGACTTGGTTCCTTTTTACAAGTTTTTGTTTGATTTGTTTGAACTCTGGACATTGTGTTCGTACTTAATTTTTTATACTACTGCTTAGTTTAAAAAAATGAGCCAAAATGTCGTTCTGGCACGTCGTTGTAAAATTCTTTCGTATGAAAAATGTTAGAGGACAACAGTGTCCATCAGTAAGCAGACCCACATCACACACAGGGGCTTTCGTGCTGGAATTGTTAGACAATGTTAAAAAGGGACCCAAATGTCGCTTTTCATAAATGGAAAACAGTTTTTATAAAGAAAGTGTGGTTTGGTGTGGTATTGTGTTATGTTCTGTGTGGTTCCTGCTATCCTGGTAACAGTAGCCTAATAATGTGCTGTAAAGCTTTGCATGTGTAATGTGTAATGGGTCCCTCCTGAGTGTGTTTCTATGTTTTGTTTATAATATACCATATTTTTATTATTCCTTTTTTTTATACAGTACTTACTTAGAAATTATGAGCAAGACACGACTGTTTTGTTTTTTATTTAGTAAAAAATGTTTGCTAGATAACTTCAATAATTACAAAGATGCATATTTTTGTCTTTTAAAATCAAATACTCTCACAATTGCACAGCGTGTACATGTATTTAATTTGTGAAATAGTACAGGGAATGTAATACACTGTTCACATCACCAGGTCCTCTACGATGGCAAGCTGTCATCAGCCATAGTGTTCATGTACAACCCGGTGGCCACAGACGGACAGTTGTGTCTGCAGTCAGCTCCTAAAGGAAACGTCTCGTATTTTGTACATACGCCACATGCGCTGATGCTCCAGGTAAATATTAAGGGTGTGGTTTGCATAGCTGAAGTAATATCTATGACAATTGTGTTGTAGTGCTTCGCGTTTGACAGTACCTACGATGCTATTTTGCTAGAAAGAAGAAATTAATATACACATGAAATTGCATTTTCTTCGGTTCTATTATCATACTAAACAAATATATATTGTTGTAAGTGGGATTCCACAACGAGGGTTAGAATCATCGTACAAAAACTAGACCGTTTTGTATGTAAATAAAATTGACGAATGAAATTCAAGTCACTGTTTCGGAAACCTATGTTGTCGTGGTTGGCAGGCTAAAATAAAATGGTTCCGATATTGTTTGGTGCTTCAGCCCCGATAGTATTACATCCATTTGCAACGAGTGCGCGATACATTTGAGCGCGCACTCCACCCAATTAAACTCACCCTGGGGCTTAACTCCGGCTCGGTTTACCAGTTTGAACATTTTATTATAATTCTTATTTCTCAATAATGTACATACATGTAATAACGTCCAAAGTTGTTAAGACCCTTTCTACGGAAGTTCCCAAGTTATGTCTAGTTTCCTCCAAGTGACCGCGGGTCGATCGATACTTCGTTACGCCAAACTTGATAACCTCATGTTAAATTTTACTAAACTCGGCCATACTATGCTCTGGAATCATCAAAGTTCTCGTTATAAATAAATTATAAGTCAAACTAAAAGTGTTACAAGTTAAGGATAAGCCAACTTTAGTAATAATTTAGAAACTTGTTACACAAGAACCGAGGTTACCTATTAACTGTTATAGCTTTTCGATATTCTCTCCTTTAAATCGCGAGGCAGCACTGTTACAGCGGATTGACTTAATATATTGTAGGACTTATAGTAATAAGTACCTGGTTTGGTATTCCAAAGTACAAACTTTACAGGCGTACGTTTTTTCCACAGGAGGTGAAGGCAGTAGTGACACACTCAATACACAGCGCATTAAATTCCATCGGCGGGGTGCAGGTTCTGTTCCCCCTGTTCGCACAGTTGGACCTTCCGCACGACGCGCCCGCCACAGACCCCAAGAGAGACCCCATGCTCTGGTATGTCGCCCTGTAACACCACAAGCTGGTAATGAAATGCACAAAGTTACAACTACCGTAAGTAGCTGTCTCCTAATAATTTGACAGCAACCCTAAACTGGCTGAAATGTTATTACAAAACTTTGCGGGAATTGATTCACTGCGCAACTGAAACAAAGGAAGTGTTGAACGTCCCCTGAACAAATTGCTACCTCAGCTCCCAGTTACCCCATAGTTTGTGAACATTAGTTAGGCCCGAAATAAAGTTGGCCGGCATTCCAGAACTAAATCACCGGCATTGAGCTTAGCGAGCGTTTGCGAGTGCCAAAGCCAGTCATTAATATTCCTAGTGGCTTCGGGCGCGTTAGTTGGCTAAATGCACTTTCACTGTCGGCCCGCCGGCGGCAGCCAGCAGTGGCTCTCCACCTTCACTCCGGCAGCGGCCTGTAGCGACTGTAATACGACTCGGGAACTAACTCCTGCCAACTCCTAATTGCCTGGTGCCTACTCCGCTTAACGGAATAGATTTATGAGCGACATTTTGCGGCGACAATTTATATTAGCATAGGGTTACGAAGGGCGGTTATTAAATTATCAGGCGTGACATTTATTTTAATGAGAAAACCTTAAAATTTATGAAATATTAAGGGCTGCGCAAACATCGAATTTATTTTATAGTTACGCTTTAATGGACTTGCGTTAGCAGACTGAAAAATAGATCGCTTTAATTTACAAAACTCAGATTTGCAACGTTGCGTTGGCTGAAACAATTTTGTTCAATGCTTGTGAAAAACTTTATTTTAAATCAATGCATTGCAACCGCTTTGTCACATAACATAACTGTATTACTGAATCGATGAAACGTTTCTAGAAAATAATGATGTCAATATCGATTGGAAAGATCTTTGCATAATTTTGTTATCATTTTCTATACAAAATGGCCTCGCCGGCAAACTTGTATGGCTCATGAATATAAAAAATCCATGCTAACGTATACACATTGGGTATTTGCTAACGTCGGTCACACGTGTTTAATATTGACGTAGGTTGAAGCGTATGATAACAGCCGCACTGACAGTTCAAAGCGTCGCCTTCGACGACCCGTGTCACGCCCGGTTGGATCCGGATAAATAAGTCCTCCGTACGCCATCAAAATTGTACCAACACATCAAAGGTACAACAGATTAAATTTATGCATAAGAGTAACCTGCCTCGTCTAATGAGACGTCTCCCTATCCTCGCGACAGAATTAACACAAAGATTATTAGAAATATATTTTACGAGGGAATTCCGTAGGTACCGCGTTATTATTCCCTAGCAATTGCTGGGACATTACGCCGGAGTATACATGTATTATTTATGGACTTGAAATGAGATTCATCGCTTTTGGGATATATCTTAAACGGTGTAAATTTTTCATGTCGCAATCTGCGTCGTTTTATTTGAGGCGAGAGCTGAAATATTGTTTCAGCTTCGCCACTTGTTGTTGTACTGAATATGGCTCAGAATGTGTAAATTGAGGATATTCATAAATATAATTAATGTTACCTGATTAGGCGTAGGCCGGTGTTGACATGTGCTCCATTCCTAGCTCGAAGCTGCTGGGGTTCGTGTGCTCGCTGGTGGAGTCGTGCAGCACGGTGCAGCAGCACATGCTGCAGTGCCGCGGGTTCCTCGTCATCTCCCACATGCTGCAGCGCTGCAGCCGCGACCACCTGACGCCCGACACGCTGGCGTCCTTCCTCCACCTCACCAAGCACCTCGTCACCTGCTGCTCTCCTAACTCCGACCTGCTGCTCAAACAGGTATGATTATAGAAAATTTCTTATTCAGCACCTTTGTTTATAAAGTATTTTTTATTCCCAAGTAATTTATGGTAAAAGAGTTGAAACATATTATCTTGTTATTGTTATCAAGTTACTTTATAAAAGTTCTCAAATTGAACGTAACTAATTTTATATTTCGTCCAAGTTCGTTTGTTCTTGAAATTAATGCAATAAATTTTGTTTTTATCGTTTTACCGAAACATCAAGATTAATTCCTCGGATATTACCATAATACAGCTCGTTTAAAACGCGCTACAAAGGTACAACATCCCATAAATAAGTAAGAAAATTGCCTTCATAAGGTAATTTATACCGGGCCGTTGTTGAGCTCGTCTATTTGTTAAAACAGATGTTTTTCTGACTTTCATTAAGTTATGCTTCACAAAGATACGCAAATATAAACATCAGCTATGAGCCGACAGATGTAAATATTGACTTACATTAATTCAACTCTTCATTACACATGGGTAATGTTCAGGCAACATGCACTCATTAAGTCGTGTACATTACAATACAAAACTAGCAGTATGTATGTCGCTACAAGCTACAAGGATGCGAGTCACAGACACCGAGCATACTCGGAAACTACCAACGGCACACTCCACAGCTTCGGGGCTTGTAAACATGTGTAATTGAATTAAACAAATCAATTAGGTAATGGAACAAACACGCGATAAGCGGCTGGGCTCGCTTTGTACATTTAGTGGCTCGAACACTACACACTGCCAGCGAGCCTGACAACATGCTTGGGTTCACTTGCTCGCGATCTATATCACGACGGGAGCAAACAAACCGACGGTTGTAACATTTTCAATGAAACAGCTTCATTAATTCCTTCTAAGTAATCATTTGTAAAGTGAAGTCGTTGAGTAAGTGTTGCTCAAACATATTGTACAGGCTAAATTTGGATTCCAATTTGTATAAAACCAACAATCAATCACTCTCACTTTTGTATCGGCAGGTTTATTTTAAGTGTGACTGGTGCCCCGTCCTTTATGTAAATTTTGTACTGATTTTTTCTCGATTGGAAATATTTATTCGGTTTGTTTATCGTTTGTTACATATTTAATGATTTGCACAAAGGACTTTCGGAAAGTCGATTTGCAAGCGTAATCTGTTTGAGTACCAGGCCTACAAACAGTATAAAGAGATCGTTTCTGCTTTGTTTCCTTATTGCGAGTTGACGATATTTCCAGTCGAGACGAATGAACACATTAGCACGTGGTCACGATGTGTTCCCCAACTGATTTGTTCGATGGTTGTTAGCGCATGTTCCTCTTGCTTTACTTCACCTCGACTGTGTACTACAGTTTCTCTGCACACCCACTGTCATCAGGGATATAATTTGTGGTACTATCAAATCTGATACGTTATTTTTTTTATTTATCTAGTTTGATGTTACCTACTATTTGGCTTCCAATTCACAATTACGAAGTGACAATGAATTTTTAAATGAATGTGTAACGAAATAGTAAGTATATTTATCCCGTACCTAAATCAACCATAAACTAATGTCAAATATTTGCGGATTTGAAGCCCTTTCTATATTTATCTAGCCCCAACCCTACACACACATTCCCTTGTAAACTTTAGTGCTTCACCAGATCTATGAACCCCTGGTAGCGCTTGCAGTACCGTCATATTATATTCACGTTTATTTTATTATCTCATTTTATTAGTTTATTTTGATTACAATATTCAAATAAAATATTTTGAAGGGTTAGCTAGTTGACACAATAGCTATAATGGACACAATGGAATATTATTTCAAATGGTATTTATTTACAATAGCTTTCTGCACTAATGCTTTTTTACAATGATAAATGAGATCCTGTCACGGCCAAGTAAAGTCCTTTATTCTTTTTACAAATAAACCTTACTTTTCAGATGAAAAAGCAATAAGTGAAGCCGTATTATTTAGTTAGTTAAAACCTATGTCACTGTACTTTTCTTTTATTTCAATTGCTTCTATAATATTTGTATGTAGGCAGGCACAAGACCTTGCAATATATTTATGAGATGTAGTAGTACTGAATTAGAGGCAACCTGTAACTTGAGACATTAAAGCATCTATCAAGTATATCCCTGTACTAGGCGAACATACAAGCAAGAGAGAATACGCTTTCAACCATCGGACAGCCTAAGGTCTATGCTAATCGCAGTCTTTCTGCCAATCCTTTCTGACGTGGCAGCTGTTGGACCACATTCTGTTCAACCCGGCGCTGTGGATCCACACGCCGGCCGCGGTGCAGGCGCGCCTGTACTGCTACCTGGCCACCGACTTCCTCGCGGACGCGCACATATACGGCAGCGTCAGGCGCGTCAGCACTGTGCTACAGACTGTACACACGCTCAAGTTCTACTACTGGGTTGTAAACCCGAGGGCGAAGAGCGGCATTACGCCTAAAGGATTAGGTAAGTACCGACATCGACACTAGGACGATACCCTACCTTCATTTATTATTCAGTTACCTCAAGGAGACTAAGTAATTAGATACTTTTTGGAAGACATGAATTTATTAATATGAACTCTTTTAGACCGGTCAAATTTATTATGGATGAAGCTTGGAATACGTCCATAATTTATGATCAGTAATGAGTTTTTAAATTGAAAGAATAAGTAATGGCAAATACTCGTCTTCGTGGAAATTAAACGGAATATCCGTCTTATTCAAATTGTTCTAATTACACCGACATGACGGAACATAATTATACGCAAACATTTAATCTATTAAAATATTCCGGGGGTTGCAAAAGGTTAGGGAGATACCCGCCTTAACGAGAAACACATTGAAAGGAGAATGAATACGTTTCAACAATTTGAGAATTTCTTTAGTCTGTTTTGTTGTAATGCGTAAATTTAATTCCAGAGGGACCTCGGCCAGCCCACAAGGATATCCTCACAATCAGGGCGTACATACTATTGTTTTTGAAACAATTGATCATGATTGGCAACGGAGTCAAGGAGGATGAGTTACAGTCGATACTCAATTATCTCACAACTATGCACGAGGTATGTTTCCTTGGTATTTTAGAGTTTAAATTACTAGAAAGGGTATTATAAAACAAGCAATTATGTTAAACTTGATGATTTAAATTTTCACAGGATGAGAATTTACACGACGTCTTACAAATGTTAATATCATTGATGTCGGAACATCCCAGCTCGATGGTGCCCGCCTTCGATGCCAAGGTAAACTAAATTAAATAATTGATTATCTTTTTGATGCACAATTAAATGAATGTCTAAAATTATTATTTGTGTTTGTATAATAGGGTGGAGTGAGGACAATATTCAAACTACTTTCATCAGAAAGTCAACTGATCAGACTGCAGGCGTTGAAACTGCTTGGATTTTTCCTCAGTAGAAGCACGCATAAGTAAGTTTGATATTTACTTTTTAAAAAATTGTCTCTATAAAATTTGTATGTAACATAAGTATTAAGGTACTACAATATTCCTTTAAATAGGCTATTGTCACAGTAATTTGAAATTGTTGATGAATGTCAAAACAACGTACTTATTACTTAAGATATTTAAAGTACGTTTATGGTGTTCAATACGTAACATGATTTTGGAAATACGCCTACAATGCAGGCAAAGATTGTAATTTATAGAATAGTAGGTAGAATGGTATATGAACATTGCGCAATATGTGCAGACGTAAGTACGACGTGATGTCTCCGCACAACCTGTACACGCTGCTGGCGACGCGGCTGGGCGCCAGCGGCGAGGGCCTGGCGCTGCCCGTGTACAACGCGCTGTACGAGCTGCTCACCGAGCACGTCGGCCAGCAGATACTCTACACCAGCCACCCCGAGCCACAGCCGCACTTCCGCCTGGAGAACCCTAGTAAGTCACTCATCAATTGCATGGAGAGAAATATTGCAAAAACTAGATTTGTTTTAAAAATAATTAGCGTAATTATGTGGAATCCAATACCTACCTACCAGTCCCTGTTCTGAGAATCGAACTCCTGAACAAGTTGTTCGTCAATCAACTCGGCCTATGAGGCAAAGGCAGTCGCAAAAGATGTAACATGAAATGAACCTCTTGTCCGTGTCCATATTTAATTTCATAAAATTGGACAGTTACACAAGTTTTTTTGTGGTCCCCAGTGATCCTGAAGGTAGTGGCGACGTTAATCCGTCAGTCGAAGCAGACGGAGCAGTTGCTGGAAGTGAAGAAGCTGTTCCTCTCCGACATGACGCTGCTCTGCAGCAACAACCGGGAGAACAGGAGGACTGTGCTGCAGATGTCTGTCTGGCAGGTAATTGCAACTTCGTCCCATGGAACTAGGCAGAAAATATAAAGCGCTTACCAAATTTTGCATAATGCTTTATCTTCCAACGCATTCATGATATATCTAGTCACTATCTATAACATAATTTTCATTATTCTACCTTCATGCATTGCCTCGACATATACAACCCTTCTTAATATACTCTTCATAATGTTTATCACTATTCATATATATATCATTATTCATACTCCAACGTTTTCTCATAATTTGTTATAGGAGTGGCTAATAGCCATGGCGTACATCCACCCTAAGAACGCGGAAGAGCAGAAGATATCGGACATGGTGTACTCTCTCTTCCGCATGCTGCTGCATCACGCCATCAAGCACGAGTACGGGGGCTGGCGGGTCTGGGTCGATACTCTAGCCATCGTGCACTCCAAGGTACTGTATCGTTAGTGACATCTACGGTTACACAATTTGTATCAACTATGCTTGTCCTATTTATGATGTAACTTGTTGTTAATTTAGAATGCGGTCTATCGTTGCTCAGGTATCGTACGAGGAGTTCAAGCTGCAGTTCGCGCAGATGTACGAGCACTACGAGCAGCGCCGCGCGGACAACATCACCGACCCCGCCGAGCGCCAGCAGCGCCCCATCTCCACCATCTGCGGCTGGGAGCGCCGGGACGCGCCCCCCGCGCCCCCGGCGCACCACCACCACGCCGCGCAGACTGAGATCGGTGCCGGCCTGTCACTGCGCGAGCTCGACCACTGCCGCTGTAATGCAGCTGCAGAAGCCGATCGCAGTGGCGCCCTCTATAGTCAAGTGTGCAAAGTGCATAGCCCCAAACGAGATGCCACCGATGACTCCGCCATCGACACGAGGGAAACTGCTCACTGTACCAGCAGTGAAGTAGAACATGCCATTGACGAAGTGGAAACACCCACAGACGATGCAGACCGCGTTGTGTCCCCCTCCGATGCATCACCTTCGGATAACGAACTAGTGCGGTCCATCATAGATGACACCAAATTATTAGAAGATCCAGAATCAGGTGTTGGCACGCTGGAAAAGAGTGATGAGCCACTGACGAGGCAAGGCAGTCTAGACTACATTCCTGTCCGAGATGTAGGAGATGGTGTTTCAAAAGATGATGCCACCGACCGCAGTGAAGGCATTCCTTCTAGTCTATCAGTCAGTGAGACTGCTAGTCCAGAACGAGTCGCTGAACTTAACGTCGCCACTGAACGTGAGTCTGAACTGTCAGACCGGTCAGACTTGTACTTAACCCCTAGTGAGGCTACAAGCCCGAAGAAATCATTAGATAAAGCTGACGATGATCCAGATGACCCCAAGCGAGTCGCCATCAACATCGTCAACGATGTACTGAGCATCGCGCTCGAAACTGTGAGGCTAAAGACTGACGACGACACGGACTCGGGCGCCATCTCCGGGGGACTGCACTCTGAGGGCAACACTCCCAACGGACGGGACGACTTCGAGCACGAGGGCGACGACGTCGTGGACGACAAGCGAACGGCGGAGACGATCGCTAACGAACTAGTTACGGATTTAATTTCTTCGGTTGTGACAAAAAGTGAAAATGTTGAAATTGCTGAAAGCAGTAGTGAGACTGTTGTGGCGGATAGTGAACAAGTTGAGCCGGTTAGTAAAGACGTTGATTCGGATAGTAAAACTGTTGAAGCAGATAGTGAAAACGTTACTACGGACGACAATAGTCCGCAGAGGGTCATTCCCTCGGATCACCCGCACGAGGGCAATGTCCTTCCTCTAGATGGTGAATTTTTAGTCAATTCTAGAACCGAAGAGGCTGAAAAATTAGATGTAGATAAAAAAGATGAAGTTACAGAAGAAAATGAGAAAAATGAAAGCCAAAGAATCGACGCACCGACAACAGAAGAAGACGAAGAAAAGACGCCAGAGATACCTCCGATCTCAACTATTAGTGAGAGTATTACGTTAGCGAATAAAGAGGCAGAGAGTGAAGATGACAATCATGATAGTGAGAGAGACAAAAGACGCGTCAGTTTACCTGGCGACGGTGAGATGAAGCAGGATAGCAGTAGAGGAGAAGGAGTGGCCACACAGGGTACCAACACTTCAGCATCACCTAAGAGGCCGCGAAGTGCCTCTACTAGCACGCAAGTGGATTCTAATCATTTTGGTAAGCAACATGATAAAAATGTAACTAGTCTTAAAAATAACATTGCACTCTTTATAGAAACATCGAAAATAATGTTGTACTAATTGAAAGTGTGTTAATGTTCCAGAAACGAAGCGGCCGTCGAAGTGTTCCCGGCCGATGTTCTCCCCGGGCCCGACGCGGCCTCCCTTCCGCATCCCGGAGTTCCGTTGGTCCTACATACACCAGCGACTGCTCTCCGACGTCCTGTTCTCCTTGGAGACTGATATACAAGTGAGTATTGTATCCGTCTGACACATCAAGCTTCATCGTACTCGTAACAGCCACAAGATGCTCAACTGCTGATAGGCATCTCCTAGTGACTTCTCAGAATGGTTTGAACAAGCCAACTTAGAAGCAAGCCAGCAGCTTTCCTCGTTACCGAAATTTTACTCAGTGAAAGTCGTCAAAGTAGAAATTATCTGTTTAATGTTCTGCAATGGTTTTACATCTGATTTGAAGATAGGGCTTCAAGGGTTGAATAAGTGTTTTTCTTTCACTCCATGTCTGACGTCATTCTTTTATAAAAAATCAACCTATTACTTTCTCTATAATCGACAGCAATTTTAATCTTCCATCTATTTACATGACTTCTGCATAAACACTGATAATAATATTACAGGTATGGCGAAGTCACTCGACAAAGTCAGTGATAGACTTCGTGAACAGCAGCGAGAACGCGATCTTCGTGGTGAACACGGTACATCTCATCAGCCAACTGGCAGACAACCTCATCATCGCCTGCGGGGGACTGTTGCCGCTACTGGCCTCCGCCACCTCGCCCAATGTCAGTATACTATATTATTTAAATGTTAATTGTGAGGTGCAAACATTCGTGATGCTGAAAAAATATTGGCTCATCGAGCTACTACTTATTCTATATGTCTTCTCGTTAATAGATTTCTTATTTTAATATAAAAATTTTAAGTTAATTCTGTTAATGAATTTTGACAGTCTAGTGTACCCTGATATACTGGCTGGTTGGCATTTGAATATCTATGCACCAATAAATTAATCCGGGAGAAACTACTGGGAAAGCTTAGTTTAAAGGAGTCACGTAATAAGGCATGTCAACCGAGTGATAATGATTCCAGAACGAGTTGGACGTGATAGAGCCGACACAGGGCATGCCAGTGGAGGTGGCGGTGACGTTCCTGCAGCGACTGGTCAGCATGGCCGACGTGCTCATCTTCGCCAGCGCACTCAACTTCGCAGAGCTCGAGGCTGAGAAGAACATGTCCAGCGGGGGCATCCTGCGACAGTGTCTGCGACTGGTCAGTCGTCACACGCACCGTCCGATAGAAAGTCAGCCGTGCTGTTTTCCATTTACATAAAAATTACGAGATGAATATTTATTACATGTTATTAAAATATTAAAGAATACAGCACGACATACTTTTGATATGATTTGTATATTATTCTACTGTTATTAACTATATTTTCTTGCTCCAAATACTTCATGAAAATATTATAATATTCAGTTCAATTTTAGTTTGTATCCCAAACTAAGTATTATAGGTTAGTTCTTGTGAAAGATATAGCAATGTTTGTTTAATGTTTCTCCATCTCCATACATAGACTGAATAGAAATTATGACTTCTCTAACCATACTTATAGTATTTTTGTAATAGGCTGATTGAATACTCTGTCTTAGTAATGTAAATGTAGACTTATCTATCTATATTTCTTCTAATTTAGTTTAGTACAATTTTCCTCGCCCGTACTCTTGAATTTTATGAAGCACTAGTGAAACTAAGCACTGTTATATTCCACGTACAAGAAAATTACAAGCATGTATACATTGAATGAAGGTAATAAGACTTCATAAAAGAGAAGAGTACGGGCAGTGTCGTGTACGGCTACTACTTGTGCGTGTAGCGAGTCGTAGCGACGTAGCGACGTAGTGTAGGCGTAGCATCGTGTGTGTCGTAGGTGTGCACGTGCGCCGTGCGCAACTGCCTCGAGTGCAAGGAGCGCGCGCGCTACGCCGCCGCGCGCAGCCAGGCGCGCGCGCCCGACTCGCCCGAGCCCAAGGTAACATCTCCGAGCGCCGCGGGGCGCCTGGTACTTGACACCATTTCGAAACGTCGCGATCCTTCATTTCAACTATATTTTCAAAAAGTCCAAACACAACAAATAGTAAAATGGATATAAGGATTCTAATAACTCATGTGGATAATGTTTCCATATTTTTTTTCTTCACACATATATCAAAACCACAACAACAGTAACGGTTTCTCTATACAAAAAATCTTCCTTAAAATACGTACCAATCCAGTTACTCTCCAAACATTTTATGATCTCCTAGTATACTAATCTTTGTTAATTATCCACTCAAACATCAGAGCATCTTTTTTACACCACAAAAAAATCTTATTCATTCATTCCAAGAAAGAAACCATTCAATATTTCGTCATAGTCCCTATCCAATCGCCAGTGAGCAAGCTACAAAATTCAACTACCTATGTAGAAAGCAACAACCAATAACAGCCTTCTAAAATGTTTACAAAGGACCTGTCAACATTTTTGGTGTAGCTTGGTGACTTGCATTTTGAAATGAGAACCTCCTTGTCCCTTCTAGTACCCTGATACTAAAAGTGTAACCGATATTAATGACAGCTTTCAACACCTTGCACTGCTCACAAAAAAAGTATTTGGTAAATAAAATTCATTGTTAATTTATGATGTTACACAAAATACACGCGCTATTAATCTTAGTACTGAGCACATTGCATGTTCAAGAAATAAAAAAGTAGAACACGCTTTGAAAGAAACATTTACATGCACAATTTTTTTCTATGCATGTTTCTGATGTATCTACCTGACTCACTTTTGTACTTCTATTGTGACTATAAAAACCTCTGCAACGGTTATGGTCTCCTAATACTTTGTTACACTTTGGTTATTCTTTCACGTGCCAAAGTTTTTGTTTGTTTTGTTGAACTAATTTGTAATATTTAGTTAGATGAATAGTTATAATGAATAATGACTTTGATTAACCCAGAGTGTGGTGGCGAGTCTAGCCGACGCGTCGAGTCCAGTGAAGGACCCGGAGCGACTACTTCAAGACATGGATGTAAATAGACTGCGAGCAGTCATTTATAGAGACGTGGTAAGTTGACAATACCGTTGACAGTGTAATTTATTTTAATGAAATAAGTGAAGTAGGTAAAATGGTATTTGTACGGTGGTACTGGAGGTAGCAAGTGATCTGCACGCTATCGGTTTGGCAGGAGGAGACGAAGCAGGCGCAGTTCCTGTCGCTGGCCATCGTGTACTTCATCTCGGTGCTGATGGTGTCGAAGTACCGCGACATCCTGGAGCCGCCGGCGCACGCGCCGCCCCAGTGCGCGCGCCGCCCGCATGCGCACGACCACCACGGTACGGACTCCGCGGACCTCGCACACACCATTCTACCATTTTCAAAATAAAACACATTCACTAACTCAACTTGCTAAATCAAATATACCTATAATTTATGCACGCTTTATAAATCTAAGTACATACCTATTAAAATCGTTGATGATAAAGTCTGCTCCTTTAAAACTCTCCATAAAAACTGTTCTTCATTCAATTTTGACTATCATATATTTTGAAACTTTATTACTGACCAATCTGCCAGTTTATCCCTTACTAATACATTTCTTTCTATATCAGTTAGATTCTAATATATAAACGCTCCTCTATATAATAATTTCCATAACTTATATTTCCTGTACATACTGAATACCCTAACGTTTCCACGATACTGTTACTCCGTAGTGGCACTGTTATGTCAAGCATTCACTGTTCTATGTAGTAGACTGTCTATTATATTATCTACTTCTATATCTCTAACAATATTATATTTATTACTTCTAATATATGTTTAATCTTAACTCGGAACATATTCTGACGTTAATGATATATTAAAGTACTTACATTACAAACATACTGTATCTGTTTATGTATGTAGAATAATCTGTCTTGATATATTTTGTGTATGGAATTAATATTAAAACTATACTTTCTTCTTTACTATAGATATATCGGGTTTGTTTATTAGATATGGATTTATTGTATGCTATTTATTTTTGCTTCTTTTAAATGCTTTATCGCACACAATATAAACATAATAATTACTAAATATATTGGTTACATGGACTAAAATTTTAAAGTCATCAATCATTGTGTGTTGTCGCTGTCGGAAGTATACGTAATGAACACACAAAATTATAAAAATTGGTAAACTTATTACCATTTTGGTTTACAGATATTGTCAGTCAAATTGGTGATAATTAGAAGAAACTATACAGAGTCAATACTTTCGAGAGCGATAGTCCAAAAGGATATTAATAGACTGTATATCTGAATTGTGTCGTTTCTCCTTTTTTCACGCCGCTTGATATACGCGTCACGATTTGGGACACTGGTAAAATCGTCTACATTTACTACACTGCGGCACTGCCACTGGTCGACTCGCATTGGTCGTTCGATCCTACAACCGCTCATCACTTTGCTATACAACACGGTCGCTAACGATCGACTTACTTTACACTGCAAACTGAACTCGTATTCTTCCTAACTCTCCTCTTCCTCTGTCACCCTTACTCCTTACAACTGTATATATTTCAATACTGACTCTTTAATATTTTTCTATTTACTACACTGTACATAATTCTACGCAATTTATTTTATTTTGTATGAATTATTTATTATCCTCGTTCAATTCTTCGTATGTATTATCACTCGAATAACCCAATGAACTTCTTTTGAATTCTTACTCCTTGGTATCGTCTTGTGACTTGATATATTTGACCTCTTATCCCGCATGCATGCCTCCTTGTATCCTGTTTTCCCTACGCGGTTATGGTTGTTCCCTGTCCCTCGGCCATCTCCTCCCGTGCGCTGTGGGCCTGGTACCTCCCACAGGGTCGCGGCCTCTGTTCCCGCAGTGGTCGCACCACGTGTACCCGCAGTTCCTGCCCGGTGGGCACCCGGCTCACCGCCACCCCCACTCGCACTGCAAGCTCGATTGCGGCCAACACGTTAACAATAATACGCTCGCACACACACGCATCGCTAACTACCACCGCGCTCACGCAGGTAACGCGGCCGACGACTAATGGCGTTCGCATTACGAAATAATAATCGCGTAATGTAGAGGTAGTATCTTACCTAATTTACTTCATTAAAGTAAAGTGGCCCCAAGATAGATCCCTGTGGCACACCTCATGAATGTAAAGGATATTTTTTATAGAAATGGTGGTCTGCGATTATAAATCAATCATTGTTTGTAAGTCAATTAAATAACAAACGTGCGAGCTGTAAAGCAGAATATACGAAAGAGCAACAACACTATTTATCTCTCCGTGCTTCGGTTTCGCTTACACGCTTCATAGTGGAAACAGTTGCTCTCTCGTGTGTTCATATGTATTACTCCAGTGACTCATTGAATAGGACAGTGATGTGGACGCCCAAATTACTACATGTGGTCGATGTTCGCGTGCAATGTTTTGTCTTTCGAACTGTTTTATATGAGATCTGCTACAGTACTTGTGAGCTTCTATTGTCGTGGAGTGTTCTGGTCAAAGACAAAGCAATGTAAATCTTTGCACCGCTGAGGCACCGCTTCTATTTGTTTCCATTTTTCTTTAAGTTGCGTCATCATTTGAAGTAGATATTTGAAAATCCATAAATTTTAGAGAGCATGCATAAAATTTAAGATGAATCTTTATTTAATTGGTTGTAGTAACCGTCTGGAATTCTGTGCAGTCCTCTACTGTGGACGATGCATGAAATACTTGTAATCGTAGACTTGGCGCAGAGTTGTGTACCCTTGGATTTGCCAATAGTAACATATTGGGCTTCAGTTGAAAGAATGTAACAATTTAGTAAAAATAATAACTGCTTTGTACAGAATTCCATGTAAATATAAAAGTAGGAACTCCCAGATATAGTAATATTGAAGTAGGACTACCTGACCCCCGCTTTGTTAAGCAGAGCTTTGTCGATGTTGTCTGTACGACGCGGCGCGGCGCGGTGCGACCTGCCACTGTGCCTCACTAACCATTCATATTTCTATGCTCCCACAGAACACAATGGAGATGACGTGGAATACGCCATGATTGTAGTCGATGAAAACAATTCCACTATTAACGATTTGGACTCTCCCTCAATGAAGGTAAGATCATTTCAAATTTTAAGTCTATGTTGATGATCTCGTATACGGATATAGACCTTACCGTGTTTGTGTACGAATCATAATTGCATGAAAAAATCGGTAGACCCCTGTCTTCCTTTTTCTACCTTTGAGAATTTTGTGAGTATTGATTGAATCTAATTCTGTAGGCAGTATCGGTCGCAGCCTGTAGTGCAGGCGCTAAACATAAAAGCTTATTTTATCTCATTACATTCATTTTACGTAACATTGTATCGATGTACGTTCTAAATAATTTTTAAAGCTTTTATTTTTAGCCTTCCCTAATGTTTTAATGATATTGATATTTTCTAAATTTCTCTTTCCATGGCATGTTTTTCCAATTTGTCGACCTCTTCCAATGTAGGTACTACATGAAAGTAAGAGAGTTTATATTGTAAGTAGCGTTGAAGTTAGCTCTAGCCTAGGATAGTGTATGCGCATGCTAGTACTGCAGGCCCGTACAGTCGCGTCTGGTCATCAGTTTCATTGTGTTGGCAAATTAATTTGCTGTTTGCCGATTGGTTTTCGTTATCGATGTCGCTATAAGTATATGTTGAATGAAACAATAAATGTGGAAGATTTATGTGATACGTGGACGCTTCATTATATTCGTTTTGTTTTGCTTTTGCAATATAATTAATAAAGGACACGGATGCCAAAGAAGAGGGTGTTGCGAAAATAGAAACGACCACTGACGAACTGAAGCCAAATACCGGAGAGAAAGCAAAGCCTAGCGATAAGCCGGATTTGTCCCCGGCCTCGGAAAAGGAAGAGCCGCTATTCAAGTCGAGCCTCCGAGTCAAACCTCAGCCCAAACCCAAGGTTAGTACCGCAGTGGGACTGGGGGGTCGGCCAATGCTCTGTCTCTATCTATTAGTTACTGCGTCTCCTTTACTGTGGTCTCTGGGGCCCCTTCGTTGCTGTGTAGTACTTATAACTACTCAAGAGGGAATTATTAAATCCCCTTAGATCTTTCTGGTGTAAGTTAATGAGTTATTCAATGTGCTTCTATCAACTCAAATCTATATATCGAATGTAACTCTTGAATTATTTATTATCTGATTTAATTATTATTTGTAATAAACGGTATTATTGTCCTGTTGTAAGCCTCCACCCGCAAGGTCCAAAACATTGTCTGGGATAACGGTGTCGGTGGTCAATTTGGTTTGTACACATTCTGACTTTGTGTGAACATGAATTTAGTGTTGACACTCCTGATTGGTTCTGTAATCCTGGTACTTATTTGTGTATTTGTGGAATACGTTACCCTGTAATTTAAAATGATGTCATTTGATTTGTTCTAATGAAGAACTCATTAAATGTTCACTAGTTCCAGTACCAATCTTGTACACTACACAAGCTTGCCACGATACATACAATGTATAAATATGACGTCACGAAATAGGCTAGCTATGCTCACTTGTACTCTAAGTATATGTCATTATGGTACATAATATTATGAAGTAATATATTCCAGCACATAGCACCAGACACGATTTGATTATTTGTATAGATATTGTAACTTAATTTTATAAGCAATGTATTGGATTTATCGAAATATTTATGTATAAAATCAGTTAAAATAATGCAATAGTACAGGGATGGGAATTTTCACATTTCTGTTATTTCTATTGTAATAAATGTTTGTTGTGTGCGTGTTTCCGAATGTTCTTCCACTTGATATACGTAAGTTTGTTTCCTGCATGTGTGTGTGTGCTCTGCTTGCTTTTTTCACAAATTCTTTTAGCATGATGTTGACTTTTGTACCGTCCACTTTAAACCATTCTGTTTTCATCACATTGTAGTTTGTTAACACCCAATTTTGATAGCTATAAAAAAGAAGGTAAGGTGTGACTTTGTCTCTAATTTTATGAAAAATTCAAAATTAAATATCATGTCCCAGATTAGATATTCCGGAATAGTATTTAGTTATGTGTGTCGATAGGTCTATTAGCTCCCAACATTTAGTCGTGTTCAACGTTAGAATACTGAAATAATAGAATTAGCAAGTTCTCTTCTCATTAATTTAGTCTAAAAGCAGAATTTATAACTCGTTAGTGTCCCTTCCTTGTGTTTATAGCCTAGTCGTGTTAGGAGTCTGTCAGACGTGTAATGCAAGTGTGTCTATAAGACGTGTGTGTCTGCAGAGCGTGGACTCCATCGAGGACGCCGGCTCCTTCCACCTGAACTCCAATGAGACCACTAACAATGACCCTGAGACCTCCAGCGAAATCGCACTTGATGATAACAAGCATCCGGTATGTATAGATATAGATACTTTACAATAACTTACTGTTAAAATTAATCCAAAATCCTTCGATTAAGATCAAATTTTGAAATTATTTCTATGGAGCTTCTGTCACAGATCCAAATCGATTCAGAGATTTTGGTTTAATGTTTAAATGTGTATTGGTGCAAATTAAAAATCATTCAAAAGTCTTCATTGCTGACTAATGGAAATCAACAAAAGTTTTTGAACAGTTTGATGAATATAACTTGTATGAACTTTCCAGGTGAGCAACGATGAGTCGTGGACCGACGTGAACCTCAACGAGGACGGAGAGCGAGGGCCTGCCACTATCACCGGCAGGACGAGAGACCACGAGGGTAACATACATGAAGGTGAGCATGTACTGCAAAGCGCAACCTTAAAATTAAAATAATTTTGTAAAACGTGTTTATTGTTTGAACTTGCTAAATAGTTTAGCATTCCGAAAGGACACATTGGACACATAAATTGTTGATAAGAGAAAGTATTGCTCACTTTTGATAACAGTATATAATATTAATAATAAAATATATCTCGATTCCAGACATAGACAAACAGATCCACATGCGTAACTCGGAGTCCCACCACCACCTCACGCAGAGACACCAGAACAGGAACCTGCAGGCCGCGCAGAGGCATTTACACCCCGTGAGTTATATTTTCTATTTATGTTCTACGTGCTAATTAATTAACTAAAGACAGCATAATTAACTCATACCAGTACCTACCTACAACTAAAAATAGTTTAATTTTGGAACATATCATAAACAGTCCTGAAATAGTAGAAAATGGATGTGCTTGCGAATAATAAAAGTAACCATAGTTGAGTTGTATTCTTCAATTATTCCCAGGACAACGAGACGCTAGCAGGTCTGAGCGCGATGAACAGTACGATGTCCGCGGACGGCGTGTCGCGCGAGGCCTCGCTCACCCACAAGTTGGAGACGGCGCTGGGGCCCGTCTGTCCACTGCTGCGCGAGATCATGCTGGACTTCGCGCCCTTCCTCTCCAAGACCCTCGTCGGCAGCCACGGACAGGAACTGCTCATGGAGGGTAAAGGTATACCGGTACTAGGCATGGTAGTGGCTTATCATGCTTCTAATTCTTTAATTAATTTAAAGAACTTGCTTAGCTTTGGACGAGGGCTTGGTTCGGGCACAATAGAAGAGGTAACTTGTAGAACTCACATGTGACAATGATGTTTAATAACTGAATAACAACAATTCAAAGATCTGTAAAAATCAATTAAAATATTTCATGTCGCTTAATAACTATGAGGGTTACTGTGTTTTTAATAATGCTGGTGATAAATTAATAGTGAGTAAACAAAGTTTTAACAACTAGTTAGCTGGTGTAGCCATAGATATAATACAATAATACAAGGCTTTGGATGTGGTACTAACGAACAGCTGTTTATAATTATTATTATTAGAAGGGATGCATGTCGTAGAGATGGGATACAGTAGAAATAATCTGACGTTCTTTGGACTAATATCTCTGTCTCCATTTCTATCAGGTCTCCAAACCTTTAAATCCAGCACATCAGTGGTAGAGCTGGTGATGCTGCTATGCTCCCAGGAGTGGCAGAACTCGTTGCAAAAGCACGCGGGACTGGCCTTCATCGAGCTGATCAATGAGGGTCGGCTCCTGTCGCATGCCATGAGGGATCACATCGTCCGAGTAGCCAATGAAGCAGAGTTTATATTGAACAGAATGAGAGCTGATGATGTGCTCAAACATGCTGATTTTGAGGTGAGATTTCGTGAAAGCAACGAGTAAGTTGCTTTCTGTTTTAACAGTCGTCTGTTTCGAAGATATAACATATTGAAGTTGACTTGTATCAAAAAAACAAAATGAAATGTAGTTCTACTTGTTTTGAGTGTAGTCCATCTTTTTAATTGAAATAAAGAGTAATGTAATGCGTATTGCGTGTACTGCAGTGTCTATGCGCGACGAGTAGCGGCGAGCGCGCGGAGGAGGAGCGCACGTGCGAGCGCCTCATTGGCGCCGCGCGCCGCCGCGACACCGGCGCCGCCGCCAGGCTGCTCGACAAACTGCGCCACGCCGCCGGCCACGCCGCGCAGCCCGGGTACGCTTGATTCCACTAGTTTCAAAGCCACCCCAAAAGCTAGCCCAATACAGCCGATGCCGATTCGGAGTCGCGGAGAACCTAACGGGTAACCGGGGCTCCGACTCGACGTGCAGGAGAAGGAAGGAACGGGGTGGTTTTTAGTCAGTAAAAGTCTGACACTCCCTCCCGCCTCACCCAGGCGGGAGCAGTCATTCGATGATTTTCCCCCCTTAAAAAAAAAACCCCAAAAGCTATCACTCACAAACTGCGCGATAAACGACACAGGAAGTACCGTGCATCAAACTGTGCCAACAAATTTGGTTTCCTTTAAAGATTCTCAGTCAAAGATTGCTTTCGAAATGAAACAATCACGCGAGATCTAAAGTGAAATACTTGTTATACTTAGATGGTTCCAATACTAAAGTTAATTGAAAAAGAATAACTATGGAATTTTTGTCTCGTATTTTCATAACGATCTAGGTACACTAAAGAACTTATAGACAGACATATTTACTCTCTACAAGTATTTTGACCTTTGAAAAAAAGCTCCAGTGTATTGTTCTTTTCCTGGAATCCATCCCTTATTATCATACCTACATGGTCCAGCAGTGGCAGTCAGTTCTGGAAGCTAGACTCGTGGGAGGACGACGCGCGACGCCGGCGCCGCCTGGTGCCGGACGCGCGCGGCCGCAGGCACGCCGCCGCCGCGCTGGCCCGGCCTCACCCCGCCACACATCATCACGATGCCATACTGCAGGTACTGGGCCACTCTTGTCGGCTTCTGCTGGCCTGGTACTCTTAAGCCAGGGACAGTTAAAGTGAAATTACCGTTGTTCAATAAATAACTCTTTTTAAGAGTTATTGTAGTGCGATTGTAATGAGATAGCTATCGACAGACTATTTACAAATTCAAACGCTAGCATATCAACATACTCCAACCTGTAAACTTGCTTCAATAGATTTTCAACTTGATTATTTTCAGTAAAAGATGAAAGTTGAAACAATTTGATAGATTTTTGGCGTAATTCCAGGCATATCAAACAAGTGCCTGCCTGACGTAATTACTTATCAAATTGTTTGTCTTTTGGCCACAGTAAACAGGACACTATAGTGTCCTGGGACTACCCATAATAGCAATAAAACTGTTGAATGAACACTTAATTGATTAATTAATTATCTTTTACCAGGCTACAGAAGAGCTTCACTCTCGCATCGCAGCCGGCGGCGCGGGTCGAGGCGCGCAGCTCCCGACCACTGCCGCGGCTGAGCTGCTCGACGATGCTGAGCTCCTGGTAGACGACAGGGAAATTGATGCCGACCTTACTGGTACGTACCCAGCAGAAGTAGCATACGCTATAAAGAACTGGTATTGCTAAGTCTATAGTATAAAACTTTCATCGCCTCACTAGACAAAAAAAAATAGAAAGTTTTTAATAGATAAATAAAATTGCGGTGTATTCAAGCACTAAATTCAATTTTATTAAATAGGTACTTAATTTTTTTGCTAATAATTATCGTACCAGGCTTGTCTATACGTGGACCACTGATTTATTATAACAAAGCGCCTGAACAAAATGTTATAGCAGTTTCGTTTCTACATGTTGCATTCAACATTTCACTAGGAACTACAAATTGGTTTTGTTTTTATTTTCAACTGAGTAAAAGATACGTGAAAATAATAATAAATGTATATAGATTTTGGGACTACTTTAATCCTAATTTGTATTTGCAACGTTTTAATTAGACAAGGCACTTTGATTAAGGGTCGCAAGCGTGACTACAAAGCAATACAGCTTGGTTTGTTATCTTGACTTCAGAGACGATCTATCTCTTTTTTAAAACATGAGATACTGAGACTGCCCCGTCGGCCGAGTGGTCGCAAGTGCGAGCAAGGCGTCTCGGGTTCGATTCTCGGTGCAAAGTATTTAAATTCTTAGTAGTAGTACGGAATCTGGAATGCCCGGTATATAGCAATGGGCTCACCCCCTATTACATGGGACTTATAACATCAATAGTGACAAGTGGGTGTTACATTGTACAGTGGCATTAAATGCCGTAATGTGCACCTTTGCCTACCCATTCGGCGATAAAAGGCGTGATGTTATGTGTTATGTTATGTTAAAACATGAGACCTGATGAGACGTGATGTTCCCCAGGTCCAGTGAACATAAGCACGAAGGCGCGCCTGGTGGCGCCCGGCCTGGTGGCGCCGGGCACGGTGTCGCTCACCTCCACCGAGCTCTACTTCGAGGTGGATGAGGAGGATCCCGAGTACAAGAAGATTGACCCAGAGGTAGGTGCTATAACTAGTTACATTATGTTGTGAACATCTGGTCAGATTTTCATGGTTAACCACTTGACTACCGGTATATAAGACACAATAGAAATTGCGATATACCTCGCGTGGATCAAAGACGACGGGTTAATAGAATAAGCACAATCATACAATTATGTCATACAGGTTGATAAGGAATGTGTCGGTAGATAGACGTAGTGTATGAATAAAGTATGTAATTACTGTTCGTAATAGGCGTGTCGACAGGGTAAAAAAATCAAAAAAGTAATTAGTCCGTCATTAAGATCGCACGAAAATATCAGACACGTATTTTTTGTTTTATCAAATTAACAGAAGAATACGTAGTTATTCCGCATTAAAGTTAGGGAGTGGGGGTTGTTGACGTCACACTTACGGAGAAATCGTTCCTAAGTGTGACGTCACGCGTCATTTTAACTTAAAATATCTACATGTTTTTTTGGATACGAGAAAAAAGAAAAAATACGTATCGAAGATTTTTAAAATATCTAAAAGACGGACAAAAAATTAAAAATAGTCGCCATGCCTATTGTGATGTGGATTTCATATTATACGGAATTCGTAACCACTAATTTATTTTTAAACGTTGTCGTTATTGTAATGTAATCGAACGTGTGACACTTTACGAAAGTACACAGCTACTGCCATAATGAACCTAATCCTATTCTAGATTTATGAAATTTTCGTTCACAGTAGGTAGGTATCACATTTAAATAAAAATAAATGTTAAATATATTATAACTAAAAAATATGTAAGCCTAATAGATATGGCTTTTACATAATATCATAAACATACCATAAATGCCTATGACTCATGCCAACATAGTATGTCTATATCACATAAAAATATAGAGGTACAACATGCTCGATGGTATCTAAACCAATAACAATTATAATGTAAATTAACATTAATAACTCATTAACAAAAGCTATACAATAAATCGTCTGGTCTATTAACTATTACTATAAAATTATATCTTTTTCTCCGAATCTATAATATATAAATTATATGTGAAGCTGAGACAATCGCGTGACAAAACTGCCTTCAAATAAGGTGCGACGTGAGACCTTTGTTTAGTAATTTATGAAACCTCTCCTGTATTCACGGAGTACTCAAATGAAAATTATATCATTTTATATTCCAAATCAACTGACATAATCACCCAGTTCTTATACACACAAAAACATACGTTATAACGTATACGTTTAAAGTCGAAATTGGTTTATCACGGTTATGAGTAAGGATGTTCTTATTTTGTGTAGTGTGAGATATCGATATTGCGTATAGCCGTGTAATATAGTTGGGTAACCGAATATGAGGCACTTAGACGCGCGGACAATGCGTCCCCGCGGTGCAGCGCTGCCCTGACAGGCGCCACGATAGTGCTGCACCATGTCGATAATTTCAGGTGTCGGTAAATTGTTTTTAAGCAATCAAAACAATTGCATTTTTTTGACAACGACAAACAGTTTTTTATAGCACGACGATGGCAAGAAAAGCACACTAGCCACCTGAAAATAGTAGTGAAAGCTACTAATTAATTTGTTTAAGCTCTGTGGAATTGGGCGTTATAAATTAAGTTGAAACAAAAGTTAATAAAAATAGAATACATACCTAATTACCTATTGTGGTAGAAAATGTCCTCACACACTATAATTATGTATATAGGTACTATAGTTTTAACTAATACGTTAGTAACATGGTAGATGTGACACTATTGGTATGCACAATCTGTCAAGTTTTGTTCTCGAATGAAGCCACTCCCCATTTCTAAGTAAGAGTACGAACTAAAAAATGACAAAAATGCGTACTATCGATACTAGAGAGGTAACCGTACTCCATACCTGGCCGGTCGTGGTGTGGGGCGCTGGCCGAGCTTGACAGCGGGACAATGGCACCCCGCAGAGCGCCGCGTGCGCACCCGGTACGGGGGGAGGGGGAGGGACATACCAAAGCACATATTTGATTTCTACATGTGTAATTACTGTTAATTCCTACTTTGATTTGTGATAGACATGATCCGTGTATAGGAATGACCTCGTGTTAAACGCGTTTGAGAATTAAAAATATAGGTTTATTTAATTTTCTCCTGATAATCAATATTCTAGTTCCAAAGTTAATCTCTTGATGATCCATTGGATAAGATATCTTTAGATCGATAGTATCGAATTTCAATAAAGCTATGCTTAAATAAGAAATAAATAATATAGAAAAATACATAACACAGTATTCGCTCTTTATTAAATCGATTTAAACACAAAGTTATGTAGGAGGCCGATAGTGAATCAATCATACTGAACATTAATTGTATGAAATAAAGGTATAATTAATAATTTGCACTATTAAACATATTCGAGGCACCAAATTTAAATGAAGGCATCGATCCGTTGCCTGGGCGAGTTTACTACACATGTCGTGTGATCTAAGTCATTAGATCTAGAGTGCTTACGTATGTCGTAACTAATACAAAAATGTTTCTCTAATATAACATAACATCCCTTCTTTTATCGTCGAAGGGGTAGGCAGACGTGCACATTACGGTTATTCAGTTAAAGCCACTGTATAAAGTAACATCCACATTTCACTATTTATGTTATGAGTCCCATGTAATAGAGGGAGAGCATATTGTGTTTCTCTGAAATACTTTCACGTTAAAATTGTATCTACATTTTGGAATGAGCTAATACCTTCACTTGAGGACTGACCGTCAAGACTTACACCACAGTTGATATTTTGTATCTTATTTGACGTTCAATTCATGACTAATTGAAATAAACGATTTAGTTTGGAATTTTGACAGTTTTGAGCTAATTATGGTGACTGTTTAGAAACCCGCGTACAATTTAAATTAAATAAAATGTATGTAGACATAGAATAGAACTAAAATATCTATTTGCATTTAATTAAATCTCCACTCACCAGCTGATCGAAACAAAATACGGAAATGCCAAACATAAATGGCTAAAACATAAACATAAATATCAATTCAGAGTTCAGCTGTAGCAGTGTACCCGCTCGCGCTTATGCCTCACACCACGACGCTATTATCGAAACTGTATCCAAGATATTATTTACTGCGACTAATTTAACCGATTTCAAAGATTGTAAATTGAATTCGTAATGGGGCATTTTATTTGTTTATGCTAATATACCGTTTTAATTAACCGTGTCGTGTTTATAGGCGGTGCGAGCGAGACAAAACATACATACACACTCGGAATCCCAGTTATGCCTGTCGTTCGTACCAACGACAACGATTTATTGGTGCATATTTCATAATTAAAGTTTGATAAATTAATGTGAGGCGCTTTTTTGTTAAGTTCACATTTTTTGTCTCTAAATATGGAAATGGAATTCTGGGTGGCTGTAGGAAAAATGTGATGAATCATTTCTATTGAGGTTATTATCTTAATAGAATAATTTACTTCATTATATTTTTTTTCAGTGTATGTATTTGTTAGTATTTTGTTATTCGTATTCAAAATTTCACTTCATGAAGAAACATGGAAAATTAATTGCAGTTAAAAGTTATAAATTTTATTTCTACCTGTAAAACTTATAGTTATTATGCTGAGTACATAATAAGTATGTAATGTCATCATTACTATAAAACTGATAACAGACGAGCCGACGTAATGTAGGTACGATACAGGCAAGTTTATTCATATAATTACAATACGAAGATTTAATTAAAAATCTGACTTGTAATTTGCTGTAAACGGTGGTAATGACTACTATGATCATAAACTATAACTATTTATATATATTTTGACTATTCCATGATTAAATCAATTAACTGTATTTCAATTATGCGTTATTGTTTCAGAAAGCGGTATTTTATTGTAACTTACCTTCTGTTGACGATGATGATGAATTATGATTAAACATGTCACAACATAATTCCCAAAAGGTTAAGCTAGTTAGTCTCAATACATACATTAATACATATTTAATATGTTTACCGATCCAGAGATCAAACCCGAGCTTTTGCTATAACAGTATATAAACATAATTCTTTTAGGTTTAACGCTTGAATGCTTTTTAAAAGCTTTCAATCATGCATAAACGAAAAGTACCAGGGCAACATAGGCTCTCAGGAAGTATTCTGGTATCGTTCTCACGTCAACAATGACAGAAGGCTGCTACACGGCAGCACATAAATAAATATATTACTTCGCTCTGACAGCTCCCAGCGTAACTGACACGTGTCATGATACTCCTCAAATTTATTATAACAACATTCAACTTAGTATAAACTTTGTTGCTAAGGATTTAGGGTTGATTTTCAAAGTTGAATGGAAGTGCAGGTTGGTATCGCAGTGCGTACCTGTCGTCCCAACATTCTATTTAATGTTTGATTATGAAATCTGATAAGGATTTGCTGACGTTAGGATTTTAGAGATGTTTCTTTTTTATTGTTTGCAAAAGAATCGGCATGTTCGAAATCGAAGCAACCGTACGATAAGGTTAATAATAATTTTATCATCTTCTCCTTTGAAGAAATAATACGATGTTGATTACTCATTAAAACATAAAATGTCGACTTATATCAAAGTTTTATTAGCCAGATTCCGCGTGTTCAACATCGCGTGTGAATGTACTCATCACGTTTTATTTTCTTTATAAGATTATTAATAATGAATTAAACATTGATTTTAATAAAACATAGAAATACAAAAAGTCATCATGCTCATTTGAATTGGCTCAGACGTTTTCTTGATTTATTCAACTTTTTTCTTTAATATTTATTACGAGCCGTGCTTTACCTACAATTTCGCGTGCCTTGTCCATACTAACATAGTCATGGTATTGTTCCGTTTGTCTGTCTGTCTGTCAGTGGCGATTCCTGCCTTATTTACAACCGGTGTACGTTGCATGTAAGAATTTAGGCGCCAGATGTCGAGTCGATAAGCCAGCCCCCGCTGCGCGTCTTCGATTTATCGATAGATAGCGTTGCTCATCACTAGTCGTTACTGCA